CTTCACCCACTTCGGCTGCTTCTGTGGAACTGGAGGAAACCAAATACGCTCCGTGAGGGCACCGGCGCCAGCTTCCTGGTTGTGACACTGTGCTGTAGTTACGTAAGGTGTCGCCAAGCAGAGGTGGACCTCCCTGTTCATTTCCTCATGTGTCACATGAATGTTCCATTGTTTCAAATAAAATGTTTTTTAAAAATTATGTTTAGAAAAGAAAAAAGCCCTGGTTGGTGTAATTCAGTGGACTGAGTGCCGGAGTGTGAAGCAAAGGGTCGCTGATTCCATTCCCAGTCAGGGCACGAGCCTGGGCTGCAGGCCAGGTCCCCAGTGCGGGGCGTGTGAGAGGCAACCACACATTGACGTTTTTCTCCCTCTTTCTCCCTCCCTTCTTCTCTCTCTAAAAATAAATAAATAAAATCTTTTTAAAAATAAAAATTATGTTTAAAAAAGAAAAGAAACAGGAAGATGAGCTTAGTGTGAGATATAATCTGACTTTGACAATTAATGGCCAACCCTCCCAAAACAAAAGTGTTCTTTCCTGCCCGCAGTCTTTCCCAAAGGGGTCCCTGTGGTTAGTGCCTCCCAGGGGACACGCAGGTGTGACATTTCTCTCCTCCGAATGCTGCCAGTAGAAGAACGCCGCAATGACGCCAACATTGCATCAGGAACTCAAACTCTACCTTTATGTGTTCATTTTTCTCACAAATTAGACGCTTTTTCTTTCTGTTTAAAAAAAGAAAAAAGAAGTTCCTACCCCTGCGGACACTGGACCCGGATTACTGAGGTCTGTCTCCTCCCCAGCTGTGCGCCAGCTGGGTGACCCTGGCCCAGGGACTTGGCCTCCTTGCGCCTCAGGCGCCCTTGTCTGTGAGGGATGTTGACCGTGTCTTCCCTGTGGGTTGGGGGAGCTAAGAGGGACTGTTCGGTTCTGCAAAGGGCTTACAGGGCGCCTGCCGGTGCTCAGGAGGCGCTGCTGCAGGAGCAGTGAAACAGTGCAGGGTGACTGCTCGGAACAAACGGGGTCCCCGTACCGACTAACTGCCCAGTTCTTGCTGCCTAGCTGTGCGTGACCTTGGGCAAGTCACAGCATGTTCTGGGCTCCTGCTGTCCTCCTTTGTGAAATGAGGTCTCTGGTGTGGACATCTAGGAGACTGTCTGCCCACCCCCATGTGTGCATTTTCCTGGCCCCCGCCGCCCCGTGTACCACCCCATCCCTACCCCGCCTCCTCACTGACCGGGAAGCTGCCAGTTCCTTCCTCACCCTTCCCTTGGCCTCAGGTGAGGGGCCCAGGGCTGGGGGGCCTTCCCCAGGGTGGCAGAGGGGCAGAGAACAGCTTTTGTTGCATCCTGTTCAGGGGGTGGGTGTGCAGAGTAGAGAGTCTGAGCTGCCGGGGCCACGTTTCCCATCACGAGGAGGTGGTCACTCTGTCCAGAGAAGACAGAGGGACCGGAGACTCCAGTCTGGTTCTCACTGTGCCTGAGGCCTTGTGGTCCCTTGTTGGTCACTTCTCCCTTAGAGGTAATAACAGCAACCAGAATGATGGCAGTCAGCACCTGTACAATATATGCTAAGAGCCAGGAGTTATTCTGAGAACTGTGCATACTTTAACACTTTTAGTCTTCATAATGGCCTGGCAGTATCTTCACCCCCTTTTACAGATGGGGAAACCGAGGCACGGTGAATCACCTGGGCAAGGTCACACACTGGCAAGGGTCAGAGCCAGGACTTGAACCCCGTCAGCCCAGCACCAAAGGATGTCCCTGGCCACTCCTTCACCCTGCCCTTCCCTGAAGCCCTATTTGCCCAGCTGGGTGGACCTGGGATCTGTCACCGCCACCCGCAGAGTGGATGTACAGCCCCCCAGGCCCCTTCAGCCCCAGGCTGACCTCTCAGCCCAGAAGAGCCTGGACAGGCTTCTGCGAGTGTCTGCTATTTTCACACCCTCATCTCACTCAGTCCTGGGGGAAGCATGCCAGGTGCTATTCCCCATTCTGTTGCGGCAGACGCCGAGGCCATGGCTGGCACCCAGCTCCAAGCCCAGCGCTGTCTCATCCCTTCCTGAGACTGCTGGACCCTTGCTCAGACCATAGCTCAGGTGAGAAGCACCATTGCTGGTTTCCAAACCAGTCAGGTCCAAGGAAGGGGTGTGGCCCTGCTCCAGGCTCAAAGCTCCAGAAAACACAGCCACTCCCCAGACAGGCCCCGAGCCCTTACCTCACTGCCTGAGACCACCCGTTCATCTGTGTGGCCCGCCTGCACACTGGGAACCCGGAGCAGGGACACAACAAGAGGGCAAGCAGTGAGGGCAGAGCAGAGGCTCCACCAGGAAGGGGGCTCCCAGTCCCTGGGGCAGTGGGATGCAGGGGCAGAGCCCCCAGGAGTCAGCAGGCCCCGGTTCAACCCCCACTAGAATGTGAGCGCAGTGCGGGCAGGGCCCAACCGCAGGCCACCCCTCTTCATGCCACAGACCGCAGGCTGGGCAGCACGTGTCACCATCTAGGCATAACTTTGTCTGTAAGTAAAAGGCAAAAGCACTGCCAACCACGCTGATACGATGCTCTCACCTGTCCATCTCAAACTTAGTAAAAACCTCATTCAGGCTTATTTCGACAGGCTGTTAACATAAATGCTAACCATGTATCATTCTGCACATACATCAGAAGAAAACATCTGTGAAATGAGCGCAATAAGGAGGTATGTCCTAGGTTATCATTTTTGGACCCAACCCTTCCAAGTCACTTTCCACGCAGAAGGGCCGGTATCTGAGTTTTTCTGAATCCCCAAGGGCTCTGTCGATACAGACTTTCCTGGAAGACGGTTCCCCTGCTGTTCCTGGAAGCTGCCACCCAGTTGCTTACGCCCGACCTGTGCATTCCAACGGGCTGCCTGCTGGCCGGGACTAGGCCATCCTAACCCCAGGGGCGTGGGCAGTGAAAAGCGTGCATCTTGGAGAGATGCACCGAGAAAAGGTAGTTAGCGCTTGGTAAATATTTGACAGAATGGATGTATGAATACACGAATGAATAGGTGATGAATGAGTGGGATGTTAATGAACTGCCCTGAACCTAAGAGGAAAATGCTCCACGGAACTTACTAATGAATGGAGTGATAGAAATTACTTAGGCTTCAACCAGAGGTTCTCAGCTGGGGCAGCTGTGCCCCCAGAAGACGCTTGTGCCAAGATAACAATGACAATGAATTATAACCATGTGCACTGAGTACTTACATACATCCATCATCTCACATAATCCTCCCCAGCAACTCTGAAAGGCAGCTACTCTTATTGCACCCATTTCACAGAGGAGGAAACTGGGGCTCAGACAAGGTAGCACCTTGCTCAGGATCAGAACCCAGGCTGAGCAGTCTCTGCTCTCTCTGCCCCATCTCAGGGGCGGCCTACAGAAGTGAGGGCGAGCTTAGCCCGGTCCCCAGAGCCATGTGGCAGGACTGCACATTAGCAGTGTCCCCTCCTAGGCTACAGTGGTCTGGGGGATGTGCTTCAATGGGCAGAACTAGCAGAATAGCTGGGTCTCCGGAGCCCGAGCTGTGGGTAGGAAAGACCTGGCCAGAATCCTGGCCCTGGCACCTACTGACCGTGTGACTTTGGGGAGTCCTTTCAGATTTCTGACACTCACTTGGTTTTCTTGACTGAAATCCACACAGGGAGGGCTGGGTGCACTCAGGTCTCTGGTGGCTGTAAGTGCGTCCACTGTGCGTGGCCAGCCATGGGCAGTGGGGGAGGCACAGTCCCTCAGACCGCGGGCCTCAGCCCTGGTGAGCCTTGCTACCTGTTAGAACACCCTCTCGGTCAGGAGCTACAGCCAACTCCAGGCCCAGGTCCCTTCCAGACCAGTGAGATTGACCTTCCAGGACATGTGGGGCACTGGATATTTCATGGGTCACCCAAGCTGTGATCTACCTGAAATTACAGGCACAAATTCCACGATGCAGCTAGTGCGTGGAATGAACAGACATAAACCCCACTCTGAAGGACAAAGCCTCCCCCGGGCAGGGTGACAGACGCCCACTTTATGTACCTTTTACAGGAATCCCCTGTGATTCATGTTCCATGAAAAACCAGTAAGACTTCCCCAGCAGTGTGAGCGCACTGACGCTCAGAAGTGGCGCGCACACAGGGCTGTGGACGTCCGCTTTAAACTGGGCGTGGCGGCTTTCCTGGAGAGTGCGGACCGCATGGGGAAGAGTGTGCGCATGAGTCGGGGAGGTGGGGGGAGCGCAGCGGAGAGGAGCGTGCTTGTTTTTAAAATATGTGTGCTCAGGTGTTGTCTCCACATGTGGAAGGAAAAAGCTGGAGTCCTGCCAAACAGTTTGTGAATACCAGCCACCATGGCCCGTGTTGAAAGCTGGCTATGAGGGAGGGGCGGATGGAGGCGGTTCCCCCACAAGCCTGTGCACAGACGCAGGAGGAAGGTGCCCCCAGCGTCAACGGCCCTCCTCGTGGGCAGCCCTTCCCCGTCATGGAGGATGCAGGGAGCCTGAGACACACTCGGCGCCCCTGCTGCTTGATGGGACGACCGCACAGACCATTTGCACGATGAACGCGCAGGCCCCTGGCTCCACAGCTGCTGAAAATTTCATTATATCAAGAGCAGGGCCCTTCTGGGTGACTGTGCAGGCCCCTGCCCCTGGGGCTGGCCCTGGTGGGACGCCGGCTGCCTCTAGGCCCCCACCCCACCTCGGGGTTGGCACCGAAGCTACCCTCTGCAAACCTTGACACCTCACCTTGTCTGATCGTCTCCTCTCCCGCTTCTCTGCCTGATGCCAGTCTCTCCCAGAAACTTTCCCAGTACTTGGCCATCACCACACCCTCCTCCCAGGGTCCGCTTCCGAGGGCTCTGAATGAACACAGTTCACATGTGGCCGGGAAGCAGAGCTGAGCTGAAACCCCAGCATCACCCGCCCTCCCTGTCACCCTCAGGAGTCAGCGGCTTCAACACACACGATTTAAGATCATCAGGTAGCTAAAACTACGAATCACATGTGAATGGGTAAGTTCATTTTTATTTTATAATGAGTGAATACATTCTGAGAATATGGGTATATTTTGAGGCTCTGGGAGGAATGGGTAGACGCCTCCCATGGTCAGACCTATAAATAACAAAGCTGTAAATAACAAGACATGGAACTCTGAGTTAGGGAGGAGCTCTGTACCTGCTCACAAGGCAGCGGCTTCTTCCCATCTACAGAGCTGCTGGGTCACACGAGACCCTAGGCATTTCCATGACGATGAAACAGGACCCAGCGCTGGCCAGTGGCTCCCACAAAGCCACCCAGCCACCCTAGGTTGGGAGCTAGATGTCCTGTCCAATGGCACCTCCAGGGTCGTGCTCTGCTGCGCTGGGTGAAAGCACTTTCATCCATCTGTTTTCAAGTCTTGGCAGCAAGTGAGGGATGTTCTTGCAAATTAGCTGAGAGGGAAGCAGAGAAGAGATGAGTATGAGCCCCTGCCTAGGCAGAATAAGGAGTCACACTTCCGTGTCACCTCTTCCTCTGCCCCACCGGGCACCACAAAGATGCCAGTTCTGCCAAGACTAAACTCTTAACTCACTGCAAAGTCTCCATGGGCACCATCTCATTTAGTTCCTAACAAATCCCTCCCATCATTTCCGTTTTATAGGTGAGGAAACTGAGGCTGGGGAGTTGAAATCGTTGGCCTATGTCATGCAGTGGGGGAGCAAGAGTTTAAAGCCAGGCCTGGCCAGCCCCTACAAGCCATCCTGCAGTGCCTCCCCACGGGTTCCCAGCACTTCCACCTTTAAGGCGCACCGTCCTGTGGTGGCTGAGACACGCTGTAAGGACTGTCCCTGTCATCAGCAGGTAATAGCCACATGCTGGCATCAATCCCAACTGGCCCTACATTTTCCAGGAGGTCTCACACCTGAATATTCTGGAATCTAAAATCTGATGTTAGCTCGTCAAGGACATCCTGGGGAAACGGCCTGTTTTCAAGGGCTTTGGTTCACCACAGGTTGACTTTCAGCTTTCACAGGGGAGGGTGGGTATTTGGTTTTCCCTGGGAAGACCCCTCCAGTTGCTTCGATCCTAGAGCCTCTGCATCCAGCCGCTTGCACCTCACCTTGGACGGCATCTGAGAGCAGAGCCCGTGCCTCACCTACAACCCCCTCCGGTGCCGGCCTCCCCAGCCATCCTCTGTTCCACAGGGAACAGGAAGCAGTGGCTTCCCTGTGGTTCCTCCAAGTCAAGATAATTCCTCCATCAGGGGGTCTCCTAGCCTGGCTCCTTTTGCCCGGGTGCCCTTTCTCCAGGTCTTCCTATGGCAGCACCTCCGCATCCTAGATCCTGGCTCAGATGGCAGCCCCTCGCCCCAGCCTTCCGTGATTTCCATCGGACTCAGCTCCCAGCCTGGCCATCGCTCCGCACCACGTCGCCTGCTGTTCCCTTCACAGTTCTCATTGCACTTGGTCACTTCCTGGTTGGCTTACCTGTTACCTTGTTTGGTCTTCTACTAAAGGACGTAGGATATGTAAACCCCACGGCAGCAGGACCTCTGCTCTATTCACTGCCTCACCCCCAGCACAACGCGGGCTTGCTATAGATGCCATGGATGACTGCTGAGCATCTGAGCGTCTGGCACATGCCTGTCTCTGAGCTGGTACTCAGTAGTGTCATGTGACAGAGGGAGGGACGGACTTCGTGGGAGAGTGGAGGACTTGTCTGCCCTTTCATGGATGCATTGGGACAAAGGAATGAAAGGAGATGGAAAGGTAAGTTATGACCTAGTCAAGTCTTTGGATTTAGGTCTAGCGGGTATAGAAACTTCCACGTCCGACAACACAGAAGAAAGGGCTCGAGCATTCACTTTGAATTTATAAGGGAGTTTAAAATCCGACCTACGGGTTAAGGCCACCTCACAGCCTCCCACTGGTCAGCCCCGTGATGAAAGCTACCTAGGATGCCTGGCTGCACAAAGTCACCCCTGCTGTTGACGCAGCACTCCTCCCACTTACCTGCTGTCACTGCGTTATTGGAAGTGCTTCTGTGGTCCTTTTCCATGCTCTGCCACCAACTTGTAGTTGCCCTCTGCAAGAAGAATGGGGCTGCGTTGGGGCAGGCGTGTCGATTCCTGCTCAAAGGCTCACCAGCCACTGCGAAGACCAAACACCTTGGCCAGGCCCCGTCTCCCCTTCTCCCACAAGTGAGGTTGCCCAGTCCCTACCTGCGATCTCTCCTTTTCCCTCACCATGGTCCACCGCCCCGGGTTCTGGCCCTGCCCACAATTCTGGCTTCACCTCCTGGCCTCCCCGACTTGCATGCTAGATACACCAGCTGCAGGGATGCTTAGTTGCTTCCAACCTCACGATTCTGACACTTGCTGTTACTAAAAAGCCGTGGGGGCTTATTGTTTGAATTTTCTGTTTGATATTAATTTCATGATGGCAGGGACTGGGTCTGCCAAGTTCACAGATGTAGCCCTAACCTCCAGTACAGAATGAGGAACAGAATGAAGAATGAAGAAGCAGAGAATGCTTGATAAATGTTTAATCAAGATATGATAGATGGGTCGAATGACTGAATGAGTTATTGAATGAATACATGAATGGATGAAGAGATGGGTGGATGCATGATTGGATAAATTATTAAATGGATGAATGATTGAATTATTGGATGGATGGATAGATGGATCAATAGATAGTTGAATGAGATGTTGGTGTCAGTCATATTTTTTAATTCTGTGAATAAAAGTAGGAGGGACTTAAACATCTCCAGCCTCAGATCCTGAGGTCTGGCACGAATCCGTATTTGCTGTGTCCTCCTCTCGACCCACACCTCCTCTGCCCACTGTCAGACAGCAGGGCTCCTACTTCGTTTACCAAGTCTGGTCTCTATTTCTTCTGTGAGAATCCCCTGAGCTGCCGCCTCCGTCCCTGTCTCAACCACCTGCATAGATGCCGCCCACCCTCCCCCTCCCAGCCTGCAGCCCAAAATGGCCCCCGTCCTCCCAGGCGACACCTGGAGGGCTGCCCAGGTTGGAGGAGAGAGTTTCACAACAGAAGTGTCTCGGCATCCCACCACCTTGACCCCCGAGTGTCGTCTGATGGCACAGAGCGGCCAGGGAGAGTGCGGCCATGTCCCTTCTTAGTGGCTTCACAGTGTAGTTCTCACAGTCACCCATGAGGTTTTTGGGTTTTTTTTCACCCAAGAAGTGCTCAGCGTCCTTTTTAGGACTCTCTGCAAAGAAAGAATGTTTTCTTCTCTTACCTGGATATTCTTTCTTATCTCTGTGATTTAGGAATGACTTTTCTGGAAAAAGAAAAAAGAGAGAGGTTAAATGCCTTTCAGGAATTTTATAAGGCCCAAACTAAAGAATTATTTGTGTTTTTCTTTCTTTCTTTTTTTTAAGGCTTTTATTTATTTATTTTTAGAAAGAAGGGAAGGGAGAGAGACATCAATGTGTGGTTGCCTCTTGCTCGACCGCTACTGAGGACCTGGCCTGCAACCTAGGCATGTGCCCTGACTGGGAGTTGAACTGCCAACCCTTTGGTTTGCAGGCTGGCACTCAATCCACTGAGCCACACCAGCCAGGGACATTTGTGTTCTCATCTCATTCTATTAAGAGTGTACAGTAGACTTTTTCCAGAGGCTCCATGACTTTGATATCACAGCTGTTCCAATGCAGAAGCAGGTGAGAGAATCCAGTTCTCTCCTCTTAATTCATATGCAGAATTGTAAAAATGTGAAACCATACCATTCTTCTCACTATTATTTTTTTGTATTGAAAAATAGTTATTTTTAAGAAAAATGCTATTTCTGTTTACTACATAATGAATTTATTGCTGTCATTTTGATGAATTAATATATAAATACTTTTAGTGTCTCAGCTTTAGTTTCTAGTATGGTAAATATCACAGCCACACAAAGAAGAGCTCTATGGGGTCCTCAATATGTTTTTAGCATAAAGGGGTCCTGGGACCGAAAAGTTCGGGAACTACTATATTCTCAGATGAGCTGGAAACCATTTCAGCATATTGTTCAGCAAATGTTATTACAAAATATGTTCACATAGGGAGTAAATGGCTTTTATTTTTAAGAGAGAATGGAAGGGAGGGAGAAAGGGAGGGAGAGTAACATCAACGTGAGAGAGAAACATCGACTGGTTGCACCTACAACCTAGGTATGTGTCCTACCAGGGAATCGAACCAGCAATCTTTCGCTTTGCAGGATGCCACCCAACTGACTGAGTAACATGAATCAGGGGTATTTTTTTTGGGGGGGGGCGAGTCCTTTCAAAAGCAATGCAGCAATGTCAGCACTGCAAACGCCAAAGTAACTGGAGAATGAATCTTCCCTCAACTGCTTTGCTAATTCCCTCGGAGCATCCTACGCACCTTAATTTTCTCACCTGGAAACGGACAAAAAGACAGTATCTCATAAGCTATTGTGAGGATTAAAACAAATATAATTTCATTTATAACACATATATGCAAGTATTAAGAGGAACCATATGAAACTGCCATTTTTGTGTGTAAAAAGCAATCAACTCTTGGTGATTTTGTATGTCTCGATTTCTTCTCCCTGTTGATTGTCATTAACCCCGCCTCTTCTCTCAGCCCCCCACCAGCAGTAGAACATCTGGGGGAGAAGGGCATCTGGCCAGAGCACAGTGACTCACGCAGCACTGCCTACATCGGGTCGCTCACTCCTCCCCATCGGCGCATCGGCCTTGCTTGGCAGCTGCAAGGTTAAACAATCCTATTTTATGCACCTGAACTCATATCGTGCTATAGGTCAATTATATCTCAATTCAAAACCACTCTATGCACAGCTGGGCATTTTGCTTCCTTTTGTTGTGTAGCCACCTTAAAAGTCATCCGGGAGCTGGGGACCAGCACTGGCGCTCACTGTACGAGGCGGTGGAGGCCAAGGAGGCAACAGGCCAAGTTTTAGTGTTTTTTTCCAGACCAGAGACTGAAATATTCCTGCTCCCCCCTCTCCTTGGGGGTGAGTTGCAGCCCATAATGCCAGCTCAAGGCTATGTAACCTTCCTTTATTCTTCTCATGACACAGACGGCCACGTCACTCGTCAGAGGTGAGCATGGGGCCCCACCTCCCACATCTCAGCCTTGGCCACTCAGCCTCTGAGTGACTTGAACCCCTCAGAAAAATGCACTGGTTCTCTGCCCCTGTTCTCTGAAAAGTCAGGTTTACTGTACATGTCAGTGTTCACTTTCCTCAGAGAAAGACACGGGCCCCTCAGAAGTCAGGCTCCAGACTGCTAGGCTGCAAGACCTACATGGTCATCGGCCCCCCAGAAGTTACCTCTTAGAGGAGACTGGCCTCTTAGGTGTGGGCACGAGATCTGCAACTGATTCTCAAATAGTCCCCAGAAATAAACATGGACATTTATATGGAGAGAGAATGGGGGTGGGTGGGGAGAGGGAAACAGTGATAAAGCAAATGTGACAATATTTTAACAAGTGATGAACGGGGTGGAGGGCTCGAGGCACTAGAGGGTGAGCCAAAGCAGGTTCACAGGTGTGAGTACGTGGGACAGAGCATTATTGTTAATGTATCAATGCATTATTTTCTATGCAAACAACTGTAAACCTACTTTTGCCCCACCCTGTGTGCCTTTCACTTTTCTGTTTGTCTAAAGTTACTTAGAGTGTGTAGTTTAAAAAACACTAAGATAAAAGGCTTCTTCCTTGTTTGCCCAGGTCAGGAGTGCCCCACTCCTCCCTGAGACCTTTGCTTCAAGAAGCCGTTGGAATTCAGGATATTTCCGAACTCCCTGTAAGTACCAATTGTTCTTGCTGAGTGACAGCCCCCAGGCCTGGGGCCAAGACTAGAACTGTCATTTACATTCTATCTGCAAGGCTCAGATTTTCCATGAGAGGGGAGGAGACACACGCACACACACACACACACACACACACACACACACACATGCGCGCGCTCACACACACACATGGGCTTTGGAGCTGGTGGACGGGCTCGAAATCTCCACCCTGCTCCCTGCTAACTGTGTGCCATGTCTGGGCCAGGTCTTCAACTCATGCCTCCCTTTCTGTGAGACAGAGAGATAGCAGCGTACATTCCCTGAGGACCTACTATGTGTCGGGTACTGCTCTAATCACTTTACACGTGTTCTCCCCTTCAAGCCTTGTAACTGCTCCATGAAACAGTTACTACCATGACCATCACCAGCTCCTTTTACAGATGAATAAACTGAGGCTCAGAAAGGTTAAGCTGCCTGCCCAAAGTCACCGGGGAAGACAGCCATAGGATTTGAACTCCTTTCAGGGCTTCTTCACCTGCACTTTTGACTGTGGCGCTGCCTTTTGGTTATACTTTCCTCTTTACAGGCTTGACATAACAGCTTGAAGGCAGTACCTCTGAGGCACCCACTCGACCGCAGGCATCATCTAACTGATCTTTTTGCTTTTATTATCTCCATCCACGAAGTGGGTCTCATACAACTAAATGGGCTAGATCAGGAACCGAGAGAGGCAAAGAAGTTCCAGGCCCTTTCAGTTATGAAAATGACATTTCGGTCCCAAGGGCTCCTGACTCGCCCGCAGCTCTCTCCTGATAAAGGCTGTTTTCCCCACACTCTAGCCCATTCCCACAGGCCGACTGCCTCGGGGCTTTGCACCTGCTGGACCGCATGCCTCGCCCACCTAAGTCTGATTTGGTGTCAAAGATTCTGTTCTGGGCTTGTGAAGCAAGAGGCACGGCAGCTTGACTATTACAAGCCCATCTTACAAATAAGGGAAATGGGGCCTGGGAAGGTTCCATTTGGGACACTTGGCAGTGAAGGGACGAGTGGCCGCTGGAGTCCTGGCTGTCTGGTCGGAGAACCCGTTCGTAACCCCAGATCACTAATGGAATGTAGGAGAAACCACAATTCTACCTAACTGGTTCAAATCCTTTCACGGGCAAATTTTTTTCAAAGCTCAGAATTTCAGGGATCAGGATTTTCAGGACAATTCTAATGTCTCACAATCGTATTATTTGCAATGATAATGTTGCTAAAGGTGTACCTGATTTAATGTGTATGTCTTTCTTGAAACACTTTGGAAAAATAAATTTTTAAGTTGGAAAAAAAATAAAAAGCCTTGGCAGACCAGGCACTCTGGTGTGACCTTTCGGCCAGTAGGGTCACTGTAATTGACCCTGTGTGACCGAGGGTGCTGTCTGCGTGCTCAGAGATGCAGACACGGGGACGGGGTCCCGGAGTGTGTGGATTCGAAGCTCCAAACGGTTCACCTTTGATGAGCCACCTCACATCTCCCTGGAGTTCCAGAGTCTTTGCTTGCTGCACATTTCTTCCAAGTTCACACCAAACCTCTCAACCTTACGTCTTGTGTACGCAGGGCGCTCATGGGTTTCAGGTACTATCATCGGTCCTCGCTCTTCCTTGCTGATGTCCTAGCCCTTCTCGGGAAAATTATGCAAACTAGCGTGATGCTGTCCGTGCCCCTTGCTGATCCATTTATCACCTTCTTCCCCTGAGACAAAGACTAACTAAGTCACAGAGAATGGTCCTAGCAGAAATTAAGGTTAAAATATCGGATGTTTACTCAGGCTGCTGCATGTAGGATTTAAATGAATCCCCATGACTGCAAAAAGTGGCCCCATTTTACAGAGAAGGAACCTGCAGTTCAGAGACTGAAGCACTTGACCCCAAGGTCAGCCATGGAGGAGGCGGGAGAGCTGGGGTTGAAGGCCAGTGCCACGCCCAGGTGAGGGGAAGGGGTGGGACATCTGAAAGCAGAGCAGGGCAGCCGGGGGACAGGAGGAGCCCTGGTCCAGGGGCAGGGGACGGTGGTTTTCTCTGCGACATGCAGGGGGTTACGGGAGAGTGAGGCTGGGACGGGGGCCAGGAGCAGGGACTGGACCCCCACACTCACCTGCTTTCTGGCGCTGCTTGACGCAGTGCCCGTGGTTGGGGATGCCCTTGGCCATGTCGCCCGGTAACACAATGTGGCACTCATAGCCCGTGGGACAGAGGAGTGGCTCCACGCCGTCCGCCGTGGTGCTGCAGGGCTCCACTGTGGGGGGGACGCAGGCCGGGTCTCAGGGGCGCATCAGCCAGAGGGGCCACCTCTCTTTTGTGCCCCCCCTGTTCCGGGCTGTGCCTTGGGCCTCACTCAGGGTCACATGTGCACATGCACACAGGCACACACCCACACACACACAGAGCACTCCAAAGTCACGTGATCCCAAACATGCCATCTCATGAATAGTGCCATGCATACATGTGTTCACTCACACACCCAGAAACACATGTGGTCATGCTTACAGTCACCTGTGTACACACATTCACACACAAAATCCCTGACACACACACATGCTCACACACATAAACCATCCCACAAACTCCTAACACACATATATACAGTACACATACAGCCACCCACACACAGGTTCACAAATCCTACACACGTACACATTCACACTTACAGTTACACACACTTACATGAACTCAGGTGCACAAATATTCAGCTATACACAGCCACACAGTTTCTTGCATGGCTGCACACAGTCTCGCACACAGAAGCGTGCAGAATCACAAGCACGGCTACGCACATGCAAGTGTACGCACTTGAACCCTCATGGCTCTCTGGGCCCCGGGCTGACGTGTGCTGCCTTTCAGGGACTGCTGTCCACCCTCCCGGAGGAGGCCGCCTCACCAGGAAGCAGCAAACGATCTTAGGGATCAACACCGGACCAGGCCCCCTCCCTCTCAATTCCCTACCAGAAGGAGTCCCCATTCCCCGGGACAGTCAAGCCCCGCCATCGTCCTTCTCTGTTGGGGTGCAGCAGGACCCTAGAGGTCTGAGTTTTCGGGGACAGTCAGCCAGCTGGAGCAGGAGCAGCCCAGTTATCGGTATTCTGGTGGCACCTGAGAAGGAGGGATCCTGGCTCTGACACCAGGTTTGGGCTTGTCCTGTAGGTACCTTGAGACACCTCCTTAGGACCATCCAGGAGCCAGCCGTTGCCACCAAGCCACAGAGGTTTGGGCTCCACCAGCCAATCTACAACTAACAAAATAATACATGGTTAAATTGGGGCCCTCCTCGGGGGTCTGAGAAGCGTGCCAGCCCCAGCATCTGGAGTGGGAGAGCCTACATTTCTTGGCAAAACACAGAGTCTCCCTGGGGGAGAAACACCTCGCTCCCCAGCATACATTTGTCCTTTCTTTTAGTAATAGACGTTTGAGTTTGGGCGGGCTACTGGGTGGCCAAGCTGGAGACTACATTTCCCAGCCTCATTTGTAACTAGGTGTGTCCATGTGACTGAGTTCTGGCCAATGGAATGTGAGCAGAAGTGATGATGTAACTTCTGGTCTTACTCTGGCATTGATGCTGGTTTTCTCCTTTCCCACATGCACCCTCCCTTTCTCTTCCAGGCTGGGAACCCTGCGGAGCCACAGGATGGAGGGAACCTAGGTCCCTGCCTGACTGTGGATCAGAGCCACCTGGCTGCCATGGACCATCTTCCTACCTCTGGCCTATTAAGTGAGGGAGAAGTAAACACCCAATAGCTTGGACCTCTGGGTTTATGGGTCGTTTTGTCGCAGGAGCACAGCTTCTTCTATAACCAATATATTTTTAACCAGAAAAGTGACCCACTCAGTAGACTGGAAGGTCTTCAGAAACCTAAAGCAGGGGTTGAAAGCCAAAAGTGCCCCTGAGGGCAGACAGGTGACTGAGAGGAAAAAAACAGGCCAGGTAGGACAAACAGGTGTGGCAAAGTGGAGAGTGTTTCTGCCTCCAAGGCTCAGGTGCTGGTCCGCTCTGGCCAGCCATTCCCACTGTGTCCAGAGTGGATTTTCATTTTAAACTATAAATCTGTATTTTAATAAATAGAAATATTCCGGTTTTTAGACATTGGCAATGGCTTAAAAATTTTAAGCACCTCGGAGATCAACCAAAACTGGTTTGAAATGACAGTCGTCTGTGGCCCCTGCTCTAGTGTGAATTAGAAATGGGCAAAAGGAAGGAGGTGCAGGTGCTGTCAGGCTCTCGGAAGGACCAAGACGGGCGTCGGTGGAAGTGCTGGTCAGCTTCTTCTTCAAAAGGATGTGAGACGACTGCTCACCGTGTGGAGATGGAAGCAACAGGGGAGCAAACCAACAGTTTACAGTTTCCAAACTAGAGGGATGACTGTTGCATCCACCAACGCGAGAGACAAACTGTCAGAAACTTTCAGGATTCAGAGATGTTATTTTATTGGCCAAAGTTTTAACCTGCGCAGGGGCGGACTCTCAGAGTGTCCGGAGACACGGTGCTCATAAGAGCTGCAAACGAGAGCCGCGCTAAGCTCTTACGGCTAAGTTTTTATAGACTCAAGCAAACAAGCATTGTATAGAAGCAAATGTGGCTGTTAGCTACTGGCTACTCGGGTGGCGCGAGCATGACCTAAGCTTTCTGGGTTTTGAGTAATGGAAAAATTCTAATCTAGACACTTGAACAGGTGGTCCTCTACTTGTTCAGCCCCACTGGTTTTGCAGTTCCGCCTTCTCCACTCCCTATGTTCTTTCTTAATTTCCTTGTGGTTTCTGTCTCTAGGCCAAATCTCTTTAAGGCAGTCCCTATTTTAACCTCTATTTTTCTGGTTTCAACAATGACATGACGAGATTCTGCGGCCACTATCATCAATCTTCTGGGTTTTCCTTCCCACACATGATAAAACATATTTTCAGTAGGAAATGTGTTAGTGCTCTTTGTATTCTTTGCATTGGTCAAAGGCTTCTGAGCAGCAGGGAAATGTGCGCATTTTGCTCTACTTTTTGGAATACTGAACCTTGGTTAAGGCCTCCAATCAATTTGCAGACTCTTAAAGGCCTGGAAGCCCACGATCTTGCCTCTCTTTCCTTCTCTAGAACTTCCTGGGATCTCCTGCTAAATAAACTCCCCACACCCCCACCCTTATGTCAAGATTTGCTTCTGACAATAGTCTCTCTGCCCTATGGGAATGCAGCAGCGTGTGTAAGCCTCTTGGAACAGGGCCTGGTGCATTTCAAATCCTCTGGTTCTCACCTTGAAGCAGTTTTGTCCTCCATGGAACATTTAGAGAAGTCTAGAGATATTTTTGGTTGCCACAGCTCAGAGTGCAGGAAGTGAGTAGAGGCCAGGAAGACTGCTAAACACCCTACAGTGCCCAGGTCAGCCACCCCGCCCTCCCTCCACCCCCCACCTCAATTAGGATTACAGTGATCCCTCACCTATCAAGGGAGTTACATTCCAGAGCACCCCCCATGACAGGTGAAAATCAAAGAAGTAGCAGCGTTATATTTATTTTATTATTTATATATTTTTAAGGCTTATAAACCCTTCCCACATTCCTATAAACCTTTCCCACACTCTTATAAACATTTCATATGCTCTTAAACACTTTCTACACTCTTAAGCCTAAATAATTTTAACAACATATAAAATTCTATATGAGTACAGTATACCGCAAAATCCTGCAATACAGAATTAGATATATATTTTTAAAAACCCGCACTACAGTGAAGCCGCAATAGGTGAAGCACGATATAGTTAGGGACAACTGTACTAACCCCAATGCCAAGAGTGCCAGGGGTGAGAAACCTTGTGTTAAATATTATTAATACAGTCGTTATTATGACTAACTGATGGCTCTCCCTGTTGGCCAGTTAAATCTAGTCATTTTATTATTTTATGAATCATTGATTCATTGAATAACTTTTAGGGGTCTAGAGACTGTTTTATGTGTTGGGGGTACAGAAGTGAATGAAATAGACCAAATTCTCCTTATGAAGCTGACCTTCAAGGGTGGGAAGCAGTCAGCAAACAAACAAATAAAACAATATTCCAGGCTGGGCTACAAATGAAACTGAGGCAGGGCAAGGGGGTAAGGAATGGCTGAGGAAGGACTGCCATTTTGAGAGGGAGCTCTTCCCCGAGGAAGTGACCACTTGTGGACAAAGACCGGAAGGAAATGAGGAAGCCAGCTGTGTGGGTGTCTGGGGGAAGGAGGTTTAGGCAGTGAGGGACCCCACATATGGGCCCAGGTGCTGGAGCGAGGGCCCACATCCCTGCCCTGGGGGCCTCATGAAGACTGGATGGAAACTCTAGCTCTGTCTGCTGTGTAACCTCGAGCACAAGACAGCTTCTTTGAGCCTCAATGTCGAACTGTAAAATAGGGCCGATAACAGTCTTCGCCCCCTGGGACTGTGTGAGCGGAAAACAAGGTGATGTGTGGAAAGGCCACAGGCATGTCATGATAGTCGCACAGCTCGTGCACGGCTCAAAAGCCCCCGGCCCAGGCGGCGAGGGAGGCTGGAGCCCCTGCACCCTGTGGCAGGCAGTCCAAGGGAAGGGGCAGCTTTCTCACGTGCACACTGGAGGGAAGCACCATTCTGTGCTTCCTCCACCAGGAGGGGACAGTGTGCTGCCTGATACAGAGCCTTGTAGGAGCCTCTGGGCAGGAAGTACCTGTCCAGTCTCCGAACAAGAGGCAGTACTCAAAAGCACGGGAGACTGTAATTATGGACAGCATTAAGGGTGCTGAATCCCCTGTCACCGTGACCTCACTCCAAAGAAAACAAAGTGTGGCCGCTCTTACTTTGGCCTCGGGAGGAGGGGTTGCGGCTGCCTTTGCAGAGCCGCCCTGGTGATTAAGGCCCTTGGAAACAGGCTGTTATTATCTAAGGCTCAGCCTGAGCAGAACTGAAAGTGGAGGAAACGTTGCTACCCTTATCCTAACCTCCGTGGGACACTTCTGCTCCACCCAGAGGGAGGCAGCCGTCCAGCCCCTCCCGCCGACCCCACCCCCGCCCCAGGCCCTGCACCACGCAGTGCTCCCCAAGGGCTCCTTTCCATCCTGTCCTAAAACCTTCTCTCCAGAGGCATCTTAAACTTTTTCTGCCACAGCCCTGACGGGGCCTCAGCACTTCGGGTCCTCAGACCTGCGTGAGCTGCCCACCCTCATTTCAGTCGTTTTACAGGTGGGGACCTATGGAGGTGACCTGCTAGATGGTGGGTTTGAACCCAGCAGTCTTCGTCCCCCTGCCTCTCTGGACGCACCCGTCTGGTCTGCTAAAGCCCAAGATTTGCATCTCAAATGCCCCCAAGACCAGGCATCAGGAGTGAGGGGGACCTGCGGGGCCGGTGGAGACCGGGGAGTACCGCTGCCATCCAGGGGCACAGGAGGCTCCAGCAGAAGGTGGCCCAGGGAACGCCCTCCAATATTTTAAGAGCCAGAAATCCGGGTTTTTATGAGACATCTCCCCCATCCTCACAGGAGGGGATGCACTTTTCTAGACTAGAGCTCTCTGAGGCAGCAGCCCTGAGTACATCCAATGCTTGTTCCATGAACTGAAATGTTCCCATTTCACAGGTGGACCCGTCCCGGTGGCCCAAGGTTAAGCCCATCCGCCTTCCTCCCAGCCCGGCCTCCCTCTCCCTCCGGCAGTGCAGGCCACTTCACCCGGGCCCCGCCACCCCCGGGGCCCGCCATCCCCGCCACCGCCTCATTTCCCTGGCCCCAGCAGCGCCTACCTGGCGGGGGCGGCACCAACTCCAGGCAGGTGTAGGCGCAGCCGTTGTAGCAGCAGCGTTGGTCCGACGAGCACTCGAAGTCGGCCCGGCAGCGCGCCACCTGACAGGCGCCAGGGGGCAGCGAGCGCGGGGGTGGCGGGCAGCTGTCTTCCGACTGCCCGGGCCCTTCCTCTTCCTGGGCCTGCGGGGAGACGGCCGCGTCAACGGCGCCCCGCGGAGGCCACAGCCCGCGGGACCCACGCTGGACGCCAGCGCTGCTCAGAGCTTTGAGGGGAGGGCAAGTTGCTGGGCCTCTGAGCCTTCGTGTAAATGCAGCAGAAGCAGCCTCAGCCGGCCACTCTGAGGATCAACAGATGTTGTTTCTCTTTGCGATGGCCCCCAACTGAAATGACTGCAAGCCATCGACAGCAAAAAGAAGAAACGAAACGTGAACGGTTTGTGTGTTAAGCGTATATCCTGATATATACACGTGTATATCACGTTTTATACACATATAACAGGCTATATGTGTGTATATGTATATATAAAATGTGGGTACATACACATGTATTTCTATATATACATATAAATCTTATAATCCATATGGAGCTTTGAGAATTTACAAATCATATATAGAATGGATAAATGTACAAAACTTGGATAAATCTCACAAACATAATATTGAGCAAAACCCCCCCACAACTCACAAGAGAACACACAGTCTGTTTATATTTTTAGTTCAAAAAGAGGCAAAACTGTTGTCTAGTGAGAGAAGTGAGAAGAGTGGCCACTCCGGGTGGTGGCCGGGAGGGGTGTGGGGGCCCCGGGGGGCTGGCCCTCTCTGTTTCTTGCTGGTTCACTTTGTGCAGATTCATGGATCTCGAGACACTATTTTTTTTAGCTTTTGGTATTATGTTTCAAAAAAGTCAGTGAGACACAGCACTTCACATATAGGACATAGGGGCACATGACCAATAAAATAAGCATGTTAGAGGGGAGACTGGGAGAGTTTGTCACACCAGGCAACTCCCTCCGGGTCCCTCTGACACTGGAGCCCACACCTGCCGGGAACACTGTTCTGCTTCTGGATTTGAAAGTGGAGCGTGGGGGGGCAGGTCTCACACAACCCTGTGTGCGCTCACACATGCACACACACAGTGAGATACAGAATAGGCTCATTGGGAAGAAACACTCCGGCTTGCCCTGCCTTCTGGCCTATGGCTAAACTGCTCCTGCCATCTAAATTCCTATTTACAACAAAAGAAAAAAGCAAACAAAATATAACCAGAGACTTTAAAATTAAGAACAATCTAACAATAGCCAGGGGGGAGGGGGGAGGGGACAGTGGGGAGAAGGGTTTTCAGGAACTACTATAAAGGATACATGGACAAAACCAAGGGGGAGGGTGGAAGCAAGGGAGGGAGGTGGGTTTGGAGGGAGTGGGGGGAGTGGTGGGGAGAAAATACAGACAACTATAATCAAACCACAATAAAATAATTTATGGGAAATAAATAAGTAGATTCCTATTTACCCCCCCTACACACACATTTCAAGCAAATAATGCCAGTCTGCAGACGGGAGTGGTATGTGGCCATTGAAACTTGCCCTGAACCTGCTGGTCACCAGGATACTGAGGTTTGTGAAGAAATGAAGGTAAAGAACAGTTTGTTTGCTATGCACCTAACTACATTTTCAAATATACAGATACACACATACAATATGGAGATATTGGTATAGGTCTAGAATATGTTTTGGAGGCAAATACAAGAAGACAAGAAACTGTACAAGAACACACAATCCTTGCTTTGGGAGGCAAATTGGGTTGTGAAAAAAAAGAATTAGGTTGTTAGGCAAAGGGAGTTTTCTCCTCATTCACTATTTTGTTATATATATATATATATATATATATATATATATATATAACTATCACAAAGAGTGTATGTGTATATGTGTGTACATATGTTTATATGTATATATATACATATAAAGTATGTGTATACACAATATATATTTTTGCCATGCACACTTTTTTCAATTTCAAGACAATTAAAAAATTTTAAAAACTGTAGAAATACTTACAAAAAATTTGCAAGGATAGGAAAAACACATGATATGTTAGTAAACAGAGAAATAAAAGGCAAGATACAAAATGGTATATGCCATCTATTCGTAACTATAAAGAGGGAGGTTCAAAGGATGCCTGAACATCCCGCGCAGCTATCGCGGTGGCTGCAAACTCCGTGCACTGCTCCCAAAGCCCTGTAGAGGGCGTCCGATCACCGAGAATAGGTCCCTAGCCGGCTCCTCTCCGAACTGTTAAAATTAGCAGGACTATCGGTGTTAAACCTTCCTCAAAGGTACGGTTCCACCCCCCAGCAAGAAATCAGAGGGAGAGCAAGAGAGGAAATAAAACTGTAAGCAAGTGGGGAGGAGAATGGCCTAGGAGGGGTGGGTCTCCTGGTCCCCACTCCAGCTTCATGCAGAAAAAATTTTCTCCCTTACATGGGTCGTTTAATTTGTGAAAAGTACAAACGAACACAAATTCATCATTTGCAGATAAGGAAAGGAAAGTTTCAGGAGATTGGCGGTTCTTCCCCCAAACAAAGGGTAGATGGGAGCATGGGACTTCAGAGGCCCGGTTCAACCTTTTCACTGTCCCCTACTCCCTCTGGTCTCCCTGATTCCAAGTGCCACCATGAATAATTTCCAAGCCGCAAGTAGAGGTTATTATCCTATGTCATTAGCTCCTGTTCGTTCTCTTCAGAATTAATGACATTGGACTCACTCTGGGGCCCCAGCATTTCAGTCCTAATCGAATGTGGCAGCTGCCCTGGCCTCCTTCGGAGGGTGATGGGAAAGCCCGGGCATGGTCTGGGGGAGCTGGTTGGCTTTTCCGCCTGGCCTGCTTGGATGCCAAGCTTTGTTTACGAAATTTAACGAGACCTGGAGATGAGAGTGAAGTACTTTTCACCCCCCTCCGAAACCTCCCAGTGCAAGCTGGTCCCTAATGGCACCCCGACAGGGCGCTTCCCAGAATTGGGAGAGAACAAAAGCAACAAGCGCCTTGGCAGTCAAGTCTCCCGGGTTATCTGGCGCCCTGGCAGCAGCAGTTGGCAGAGGGTGACAAAGCGCTGCTTTCCCTGAGGGGCGCCCATGAAAGCATGAAAGGTTTCCAAAAATAGTTCGTGTCCTGCAAAGTGATATGCAAAGAAGGTCCTAAACAAAGGGTGTCTCCTGGAGTTCTGAGCACGAATGGACTTTTAAAAAAGATTTTATTTCCTTATATTTAGAGAGAGGAGAAGGGAGGGAGAAAGAGAGGGAAAGAAACATTGATGCGTGTGAGAGAAATATCGACAGGCTGACTTTTGGATATGCCTGCCGGGGACCAAACCTGAAACCCAGGCGTGTGCCCTGACTGGAAATCAAACCAGCGACCTTTTGCTCTGTGGGAAAATACCCAACCACCTGAACCACACTAGTCAGGGTGAAAGAGTGGACTTCTGTCAAAGAAACAAGTAGATCACCCTCAATGACTTCCCAGACCATGGGGGAGGGTGGGTGTCGAAGGGTTAAAGGCCAAAGTCCTTGGCCTGAAGCTCAAATCCGAGCTGCCCCAACCCCTCCATGTCTGTCCTCCCTCCCACCACTCTCCCCCTTGCTCATTCCTGTCCAGTGTTCTGGCCTCGCTGAGGTCCTTGGGGCAGGATAAAACTAGTCCCACAGCTGGGCTTTGCACGGGCTGTGCCTCTCATCCAGATGCCCTCATGTTTCTGGCCTTTATCTCCTAACCCCTGATTACCGTGGGAACACTGTGTTTGACAGACTCATCAGTTTCAAGTCTTTCACCCCCTACAACATGCCATCTTTAGGCACTTGGTTTTGTTACCACTGTGTCCTGGGCACCTACATTTTCTGGAGCCCTAGCCAGCCCACCCCTCCATTGCCACTCTGTCAAAAGGAAAATAATAGCAGGTCAATTCCCTCTGAGAATGAGGCAGCTCACTCCAGACTGACAACATCCTTCATGAAAAACCCAGAGCGACCCATGAATTTCATCTGCTATTTCCAGGACTGCTGAGGGGTTATAGAGCAGGTCTATTTCCAGACAGCTGCTGGACACACATGTACAGCGCTGCTCAGACAGCAGCTGCCCAGGGCTGCTTGCCTTGCTTGGACAAAAATGACTCTCTTAAGGTTATCTATCAGCCTGGTGGCTGTTTTCTGCTCCTTGGGGAGAGAGCCTTGGAGGCCTCTGTAGATTTGCAAAGCTATTCTGCTGCTATTAGACGAGCAGGTTAGGAAAGTGTCAGTTCTGACTCCTTCGGTAGGAAGCCCAATTTTGCTAGTCCAAGTCTGATTCCACTGAAGCAAACAGCCTGGATGTCCAACCGAAGGGCTCTGGACAAATAAATGACAGCACATCTGTACCCTGGAATACCATACAAGCTTTCGAAAAGGGGACACATATCTACCATATTAACATATTCACCATATATATTGCTCAATGAAAAACCAGGTATGAAACAGTAAGAATAAACCAGACACAATTCCATGTACTATATGAATCCACTTATGTGAAATGTTCTGACTAGCACATCTGCAGAGACAGGAAGCAGATGGGTGGTGGCCAAGGGCTGGGGACAGGGAATGGAGAGCAATTGCTCCATGGGTCTGGGGGTTCCTTTGGGATGAGAGAAATGTCTTGGAACTAGATAGAGGGGGTGGTTGTGCAATACCGCACGAGCAGCAAATGCCACTGAATTGTGCACTCTAAAATGCCTATGTGAATTTTATTCTAATAAAACAATTTTTAAACAATATGAGTAAAATCTCAAGAAAAAATGTGTGTGGAAAAAACTGTGGGGATGCTTCATAAATACATCTAGGCAGACATACCCCCAAATGTCAACAGAGCCATGTCTTTGAGGAAGAATTTAAATTATTTTTCCTCACTTATAACAGTCTGTCTGAATTTCTTTTACAATAAACATCATTGTCATAATCAGGAAAACAATCGAAACAGTTTCCTTTTAAGGAGAAAGAATCCAGTCTCCAGACCTCTCTCAATTTACTCAAGTCTCTCCCTCAGCCCTCCCCACCCCATTCATTCTGCTAGCAAAACTTTCCCTGTCTTTGGAATGTTCCAGCAACTTAACAATCAGACCAATAAAAGTGTACCCCAGGATTTGTTTGCTCAGTGCAGGAAGAAAGCCAACTTTCCTCTAAGCACTAATCGCTCTTCCTTTGGAATTTGGACGTCAAAGCTCTAAAAATATGTCTCTCCCCAGAACAGAGGACACGGAGTTCAGTGTACATTGATGAATGCCATTTCCTGATGCCCTGAGACCTCCGCGCTGGGCTCTGAGGGCAAAATTTGGTGCACAGCTAATGAGACTTCCTCAGAGAACTCACAACTGGCTCTCACGCTGGTGACAGCCCCCACAGCAGTGCAAGCCGAGAGCAAGGCTGCAGACGCACCAATTCTTTGACTGGTGTCCACTGAGCATGGCTGTGCACCTGGAAGTCTTTTAGAACTTTTGATCCCATCTATCCTGTTCTGGAAGGTTTTAACATGATTTATTCACTCATTTAATGGTGAAGGCATAGTTCCCAGGCCGACTACCCGCCAGGCACTGGACTGGGTACCAGGAGAGCTGAGTTGAACCAGGTGACGTCACCCTTGCCTTCAGGTGCCTAGGCTCCTTGACAAGTGACAAACACCAAACAAAACATCACACAGATAAAACAAACTAATAGTTTTTTTGTCATCTGCAAAAGTAGTTCATGAAAAACTAAATTAAACCACAGTAAAGAAACAAATCATGGAGATAATAATGGAGTTAAATGCTGGGAAAGAGAAGTGAGGATGTCATGAAAACGTTTAAGGGAACTCTAAACATAGACCAGCGCTGAAAGGACCAGGGTGAAGCTGTTGGGACTCAGGAAATGAGGAGAGTGGAGGGGACGTGTGAACAGGTCCACGCCATCGCCTCTCCCACTCTCGCAACTTCGCAAAAAATAAAAGAGAGGTGTTAGAAGGCACTGGAGCCCACAGAAATAACAAGGGCTTCGGAGGAACACCAGTTTTGCACGGGCTGCTGGCTGCTGCAGGCTGTCGTGCTCACCAAAAGACACAGCTCTGGGCGGACTATGTGCAGAGGGGCGCGTGAGCAGGATATTCCCCGTGATCCTGGCTGCCGCAGTCCCTCGCTGTCCCCTCCTCTGGGCAGGCACCTCTGGGTAGCGTGCAAACTGCACAGACACTTCCTGCTGCCCTTCATGGGAGCTTAGAGGGCAAAGCAGACCCACGGCCGCAGCAACGTGCCTGGATCACTGGGCCACGCAGTCCCCAGGCTGACATGGCAATGGCAATGGGCGCCCCCTGGTGCATGTGCAGAGGGAATCCTGAGAGTGGATGCGTGGCCAGCTCCTGGCCTGGTGCACAGGACGTGCTCAGGAAAGACTTGTTGAGAGTTTCACTGAATGCCAGGAGAGAGAAGACCCAAACCCCAGCTCCCTGCAACTGACCCTGAGCTCCCATGAAAGGTCACTGGGCTACTTACAAACATTGCACTTCTGTCTTATCTAGCCTCATAAATATTTGGTTCTGCTTTTTGTTGTTTTAAACAGCGCAGATGTAGAGAGGGTGGCTCTTTGCCAGGCACGGAGCTGCAGGCTCTCCATGGTCTTCTCATTGGACTGCAAAGCAGTCACTCTGTTGCTGCAGATGAGGAAACTGAGGCTCAGAGAGGAGAAGCCTTCTCCTTACAAGCCTCCCATAGGGGTCGTGTGGGAACAGAAGGCAGTGTCGTCCTCTCTGGCACTGCCTCTGAGTCCTCCGGGCTGTAATTGTAACGCACGGGCATTCAGGAAGTTCCTCAGGGCCTGCTGTCCACTCTGTGGAGGGGCGGGGCTTGAGAAGGTGGGAGAGGACGGCCAATGCAGGGGGCGGACGGCCAGGGGGTGGTCAGTACTGACCACCAGCTCTCAGGTTACAGCCTTTGCCAGTGTCCATGGGCTGAAACTCCCGCTGGGGCTGGTTTCCAACTACCAATGGAAGGGTGCCGAATAAGGAGATGCAATAGCTCCTCAATAGCTACTATTTCCACCACACAGATACCATCAACATAAGTAATGTTGAGGAAGAATGAAATAAGTACAGAGTAAAATAGTTCTAATGAGTACTTCCTTTTTAAAATTTGAATCACAAATCTTACATTTATATGATTTTGTTGAGGGCTCTGTTTAACCCTCTGAGCGGGTCCACTCTGGCTTCAGCGAGTTGCGGGGCCCCTGGCCTCACCCCACCCTGACCTGCCCCATAACCCTCAAGGGCCCAGGGGTCTGCCTCAGCTTGGGGTGGGGGCTGTGGAGTCCACATGAGAAAGTCCCGTCTCTGAGTGTGTAGGGCTCGCTTCCTAGGACTCCCAGATTCCCTGCTGAACATTTGCTGGGAAGTTAGAATCAGAACTGAAAGGGCCCTGGAAGCCATCTGGTCCTCTGCCTTCATTTCCCAGGAAACAGCCTGAGGCCCAGAGAGGGCGGTGAGTAGCCCAAGGCTGCACAGCTCATCAGAAATGCTGCTGAGATGAATTCCTGGCCCCTGGCAAGCTCCGCCTCCTTATCAAGTCAGCAGCCTATTTTCCCCAAGGGTTTCTCGGAGACAGGTTCTTGGCACAAATCCCTCCTGGTCAGAGCACTGGGCAGGTATCGACGCTGTCAATAACCATGGAGAGTTCCAACCCAGTGAGGGGCACACTGGATGTGCGTGCATTGGACAGAGGGTGGCCAGGAGCAATTCAGTTTCTGAAGCCCATCCAGGCCTGTGTTCTTAAGGAGACTCCCCCCATCCCCTGTGCTCATCGTCCCCAGCCCCCACCCCCAGCCTCGACATTCCTCCCAGTGAGATGTCATCCTGTCTGCTCCTGCATCACCCCGGGACAAGGTAGAGATAAGACCAGATGACCTGTTGGAAATCTTTCCGCGGTCCCAAGTGCTAATGCCTGAGAGGATGAAATCGTCCTTTTGGGCCAGCAAAGAGCATGGGACAGTCAAACCCGAGAAGGCCTCTCCCCCTCCTTGCACACACAAGTCCTCTCCTGTAGTGAGGACAGCCCCCTCAGGGGCTCCGAGATGCACCGTTTCTGCCTCCACCCCTCAGTCCTCACGGAGTTCCAGGAAGACTTTCCAGGAACGCCATTCTGGCTAGGGCCTCACCTCCTCCGAAAGCCTTCTGTGACTATACCATCTCACACGAGCTCTCCTTGCCCTAAACACCCTACCATCCTTTTACACACGACTACTCTTTTCCACTCCCAATGGTCTCCTGCCTGACCTGTGGAATGTGAGCTCTGCGGGATGAGATTAGCCTCAGTGCAGGTTCATGCACTCCACCGTGCTCATTAAACAGCCCCTCTTCCTTGTCTCTATCTGGCAAACTCCTATGCATCCTCCAAAGCCCCAGGTTAAATGCCTCCAACCCTGGAAAACTCTGCCTAACTCCCCTGGGGCAGAGCTACATAGGTTCTTCTGTGCTTCCATTGCATTTGCCCATAGTTTCCCCACAAGAATGCACTGGATGCCAATTTACTGACAGGTACCTGGCAAGGTACCAGGAACACTACGCTAAATGAAACAGAATCAGGCTGTGCCCTGAGGAACCTCTATTCCACCTGGGAAGGCAAGCATCCCCTGGTTTCGCAATTATTTAATTAAACGTCATCCAGATGCACTGACTACTTCCCACACACTAAGAACTTCATGCATATCATCATTTAATGCCCACTCGTATGCACAGAGTGCTGGTGTTATTTCCTTGACCCTTCTATGCCTCCGTGCTCCCAGGGCAGGAGGACGGTCCTCCCCACTCCTGCCCTCTCCCCCAGTCCCCTTCCTGCTCTATTTCTCCTGTCAGCACTTGTCATCAAATGCACTAGGTTTTCCTTTTATTTCTCACTCGTTCTCAGGCTCTCCGACCATAATGTGAATTCCTGAAGACCGGGATCTGACGTCTGTGTCCCCACAGGCTAGGACACTGCCTGGTAAACAGTGGGGATCAAACACGCTTATTGAAGGAAATGCATCATTCTGTCATTTTCAAATGAGCAGATGAGGTCACTGGTGCTCAGAGAGGCCAAACGACTGGCCTGACGTCACATAGCTGGTGTGCAGCAGAGCCAGAGCTCAAACCAGATCCCCAGCTGCAGACACTGGCTGTGACAGAGGCCAGCCCTTTGTGCTGCCCTCACCTATCACCTGGCTGCTGCTCCCGCTGGACTGTGCCACCCTCTGGGGTGGGAGCTGGTGTCTCCATCTTGTACCCTCTGGACCCACCACAGTGCCTGGCCCAGAACAGTGCCCAGTAAAAGCTTTCTGAATAAGAAAGGAACTTCATGAATGCACAGTTACATTGCAAGAACCTCTGGTTACTGACTGTTGAGATGCAGCACTCCGTTTTAAGTCCCAGACTCAGGTGCTCTTTTGTCAGGAGAAAGTACACTTTGGTAGGCAAAAGCACTTCCCAGTCCCCTTGCACATTTTTTGGTGTTCTCGTTGCTTCTCTGCTTTCAGACAAGGAGTCCTTCGAAGGCACGAGTTCTGTCTGCCCACCACCCGACTTCAACACTCACAGATAAAGAAAGACACCCGCCCTGCCCGCCCACACGTGGGGGTTGCTTACAGAATGTACAGTGTCTGGGGACCTCTCATCCTTTCCCACCCTCCCCAGCCCGGCACTCACAGCACTTACGTGGGATTTCTTAGGCAGCCTCAAATGCAATGCCCGTTTCCAGATATTCTTGGCAGAAGTGGCTTCAAGGAGAAGAAGCAGAGAGCACAGAATCCAGACGACCTTCCTTCTGTTGCTGCCCATCCTGCAGCTGGTAGAAGGGGTTTCTTCCCAGACGTTCAGAAAAGAAGGGCCCTTTCCCCAGATGGGTCCTGTGAATGGGGAGCAGAAGTGTGCATACTCTGCTAGACTGTCTTAGCTCCATTTAACAGGGTCCCTCAGATCATGTGTCCATGCCCAGCACACGCCCCCCCCCTCCAACCCCACCCCCAGTGGTGGCCGCCCCCCTGGCTATTTTTAGTTTGCCCTATAACATCTGGCCCCAGAGATTCCAACCAGGCAGTGGTCAGCTGGCCGGCAGCGGGAGGAGGCACCTCCGCTTGCTTGGAGACGTGGCTGGGAGTGGCCCTGTCACATTGGGATAATGAGCACTTGCTTGCAGGCTGGGGCGGTCTCTCCAGAGGAGGTATGCCGGCTTCACAGCTGGGAGAGCTGGGTGGGTGGGGGTGGGCACACAGGGGAAGCAGCCCAGCAGGCTGGGTGGGGATTCTAGCTGCTGCCTCATCCAGATTTTGAGCTGGGCTGACAAACTGTCTGCCCACAAAAGCTTCTTAGAAAGACACTGCTGGATGGGGGCTGGCTGAGCGTGTGGCCTCGGGAAGATGACTTACCCCCTCCAACCCTGGGGCCCTCCTCTCTAATGCGGGCATGTGGACAGTTTCTCATGCGGACACGTGTGTTTCCTGGGAGAGTTCAATGAAACCGTGGTGTGAAGTGCTTCACATAGATCATCAGTGTTCTATAATGTCAGTGTGTGTGTGCTTTACACAGGGATCAGTATTTCACAAACTTTATAGTCCACCACCTGTTCACAGCAGCCCCAAGACAGGTACTGTTTTGATGCCCAGTTCACAGATGGGGAGACAGAGGAATATTGGTGTGAGGTCAGGCAGCTGGCAGCAGGGCGGATGCTCAACCCCAGGCCTGTCTGACCACGGTGACACACTGCCAGGGGAAGGGAAAGGGACCCAAGCTCTGGACTTAGAGGCACCTGGGCCAAGTCCCAGCTCAGCGTCCGTCTGTGTGACGCTGGGAAATTCTCATCTGCAACTGTTCCTCAGCTCTTTCGTCTGGAACACCAAGTCTGTGGTCATTTGTTATAGTGGCAGCAGGAAGCTCATCCACCCCAGAGTGGGATGTTGGCTCTACAAAGTCAAGTATCTGGGCCTTATTGCCTGCACCCCGGCGCCTTCCCCAGGGCCCGCCTGCATCAGCACTGAGTAAGTGCTGGCTAGGTCTCCATTTGTGCTTCCCTCTGTACATGGCACAGGGCTTGACATACAGTAGGTGATCAATAAATGCTCTTCAATTGAGATATCGGCTCTGCAGTAGTATTTGGACCACAGGCACCCTGGGTGTCCAGCAGTGACCCATCAGTTAATTTCTTGCCAACATTAACTTACAAAAATGACCCTTCAAAGTCTCGAGGGCAGCGAGGTGCCTCCTCCTGGAACGGAGCAGCACTGCAGGTTTTATGCGGAAGGAGAAAAACCTCTGAGAGGGGGACTGGCATAGAACAAGTTGACTCAGGAATGCAGCTACTGTCCTCTGAGCAGGGACAAGCAGGATCTGGTCAGACAGCCAGCCTGGGGACTCCCAGCTGCAGGTCCTGGTGGCAGCCAGGGTCTGGGGTCCAGCAGATTTCAAAGCCAGCAGCTCCTCCCAGCCTCCTGCCAAGCCTCAGAACTCTACGTTCTAAGTGGCAGAGGTCTTGGTTGTCTGAGCGCTGGTGACCTGGACTTGATCCCAAGCTTAGTGGGCTGTCCTCCTGTGAGTATGGCTCCCTGCAGATCTGTGGGCAAGGTTTCCTCTGGGAAAGCCTTGGGGTCAGCCAGGCCTTTCATCCGCTCCATTCTGAGGGCCTGTGGTGAGGCCTGCCTGCTGGACTCTGACAGCTGCCGCCTGCCTAAGGCTTCCCACCCTCCGAAAAGGGAGGAAAACATAAACAGCACAAGTGGTTAGGGGCCTCACTCTAAGGAGCAGAGGACATGGCTCCCGGTCACAGGCTCTCAGGATAAGTCCCCCCCTCCACTCCTGATGAAGCTCCCCACCTGATCACAAAGGCTTTGCGCTCCTTCCTCAGGGAGGCAAAACATTTTCTTTCATGGTGTGCTCTAGGAGAGGGGGACAGGGTAGCATTGACTCACACTTCACACTAAAGTGTGAATGACTTCCAGTAGAAGGAAAAATAGAGACAAAAGGAGGAACAGAATTCATTCATTCATTTCTTCCAACATTTGAATGCCTACTATGTGCAAGGCCTACAGATACCAGAGAAAGCAAAACCAAGCCCAGCCTCTGCGTTTATGGGACTTCAAATATGTTTAATAAACACTTAGATGGCTTTTCTTTGTGTGTATGTTTTTTTTTTTGTTGGTGGTACCAGACAGTTTCAAGTGCTTTAAAAATATTTGCTCATCTAACCCATCGCAACTCTGTTAGCTAGGTACTCTTACTATCCCCATTTCACTACAGAGAAACTGAGGGTCACAGAAATGAACAACTGTCCAACTATATGCAGCTGACAATTGGCAGAGCTGGGATTCAACTCAGACATTCACTTTTGGAGCCTGCGCTCAAAGCCATCATGACACCGTGAGTCCGAGGGACAGCTGAGTTCCGGCGAGAAAGTACAGCCTGCGGAGCTGACCTAGTCAGAGGGCCATACCTGAGGGCAGAACGTCAAAGCTGGAGCAAGAATGGGTTCTCAGTTCCAGCCGACCAGGGTAGAATGCCCCGTCGGGGGGAGTGAGCGGGGGCAGGCCGCCGACCCTCGCTGTGGGCTGAGCTCTGTGGCTCAGTGGCTTGGTGCCTCGGTGGCTCAGTGGTGCCAGCATCCAGATCAGGCCACTTCCTCTTCAAGCCCCGGCACAGTTGCCTGTCCGGATGCCTTCCTCTATTACAAAATAGTAAAAATATTTTAAATGCTTTATTGCTCTTTTTTTATCAATGTTCATTAATTTAAAAAAAAAGACAAAAGCAGTACTGAGGAGGGGTAGTAAGAAGCTAGGAAAATTCCACGGCAAGTAGAATGAGGAAAGTGAGACAGATATCTGAACAAACTGGCCAAGCAATTTACCACCAGATGCAGAAAAAGCCCCGGGTGCCTAGCAACAGGCAAAACTGGCTGGATCTGAGCCCCAGGGTGGCCGTTCCCACTTGGACACATCAATGGTCAAGCGATGGCAAAGTGGTTCAGACCCCATGACCTTAACTCCCCAGAGATAACATCCAGGCCTCAGTTGTATTTCAGCTGCAGGCCCAGAAAAGCAGCAAAACCAGGCCAGCAGCTAATGACCCCCTGCCCTGGACTGACCTATCAGTGCACACCCTGGCCCTGAAAGGGCGCACTGGAGAACAGATGAATAGTCTATTGAAATCTCCTCCAAGACCTTTCTTAAACTCCCAGCCTTTAGAAACCCTCAAAACACAGGATCCAGCAGGTGCTCTCCCTCCCTTTCTCGATTCCTCCTCTCCTCCCCCCACAGGGGAGCATCTCCTAAACTCTAAGGGACCCCACCAGACTTGCAACCGGGGAGCAATGGGCAGCGGCAGCTCATCCCAGGCTACCCCCCTGAACCTGCCCCCGGGGCCCGCTTTCTCTGACTCTCCAGCGAGCTGACTGCAGCCCCCCTTGGCTCACGTTGTTCCCACAAGGTTCCTAGAGCCAAAGCAGCCCCGCCCAGTCTCTCTCCTGTGCTTCTCCCATCCTAGGCCCTTCCTTTCTTGTTTTGCTGTCCCCAGCTTTAATTAAACGTCCTCTTCAAATCACCTGGATTCCACCCAGTGATTCCACTGCTGGGAATATACCCTAAGAATCCAGAAACACCAATTCGAAAGAACTTAACGCACCCTGATGTTTATGGAGGCATTATTTACAATGGTCAACTGTTGGAAACAGCCTAAATGCCCATCAGTAGCTGAATGGATTAAATAACTGTGATTCATCTACACAGTGGAATACTACACAGCAGGAAGAAAGAAGGAGTCCCTACCTTATGTGATGGCATGGATGGAGCTGGAGACTATTATGCTAAGTGAAATAAGCCAGGCAGTGAAAGATAAATACCACATGATCTCACCTATAAGAAGAATCTAATGAATAAAATAAACTAATGAGCAAATCAGAACCAGAGACATGGAAACAGGGAACAGACTGACAGTGACCAGAGGGGAGGGATGAGGGAGATAATGATGGAAAGAAGGGGAAGGGACTGGTCAAAGAACATGAATGAATGACCCACGGACATGGACAAAGGTGCGAGGATGGACTGTGGGGGTGGGCTGGGCGGAGAAGGGTGAAGGGGGAAAAATTGGGATAACTGTAATAGAATAAATAAGAATATAATTTTTAAAAAACTTTAAACAAGTAAAAAATTTAAAATAAAAGCCAAAAGAAAATCCCCTGGGCTCGTGTCATAAGATCTTTCCTGCATGAAATCAAGAACCCGTACACTGCCAGCCAGCCAGCCCTGCTAAGGGTCTGATCCCCTTTCCAGTAATAATACAAGCTGGATTATGTTTTTTTCTTCTGATTTTAAGAGAAATTAAAACACTTTCCTCGGCCTCTGAGAGCCTTGTGGGCCCTGGCAGCGTGCCTCTGTGCCTGTGGGGGAAGACAGCCCGGGCCCCCAGATGCTGGGGAGCCTCAGGCAGGCCTTTGCACTCTTGGAGCCGGAAAGCAGGGCGGGGGGTGTGGGGGTGTGGGGGGAGGGGTGTATGGAACATAGGTCTGCCAGGCCCCGGGGAGGTGCTGTGTTCTCTGCAGGTCCCTCCTCCCCGTATAATCTGCAAGAGCGGGCTGGGGTTGTTGGTGGAAAACTGCCCCGGAGTTGCACAATCAGCCTCCAGAACCTCGGAGCCCAGCTCTGCTCCAGGCTGTGAATGAAAGCAGATGTGCACTGGGCCACCTGATTCCTGGAGAGCCAGACCCTGACCTCGGTTCACCCCCCCGCCCCCCCCCCCCGACATCCTATCACCGACCTCTACGTGGTGTCTGGCTCCCCCTTAACTCACAGCTGCAGTCCTCCCAGCCAGGGAACTCCAAGCTTCTTTCTCTGACTCCAGTTCCAGCACCAGTGAGCCCACTGGCCTCCTCCTGACCTGGCCAGTGGGGGCCAAATTCTTGAGAAACTGACCTCTCGGCTCTGGCCAATGTGACCTCCCACGGGCTGAAAGGTCAGGTTTGAAGGTGACCTGGTTCTCCGCCCCCTTCTCCCATGTGAGGGCCCAAGCTGTCAGCAGACTCAGGTCCTTCCAGCAGCCGAGCCAGGTCACTGGGCTTCTCTGGGTTTTTTTCTCTCCAGGACTTGGACCCATGCCAAAGTGGGTTTTGACTAGTCCACTTGTTTTTATTTTTTTTCCCAAAGCAAATCTGATTGTGAGCCACCGACGACTGCCGCCACCCCACCCTGGCTCCATTCCACCTCCCAAGCCGAATACCTTGCCTTGGCTGTGTTGAGACGAAGGTAAAAATGCACAATCTATAGTCGACTTCATATGGTCACTTCAGTCAACTGGGCTGCACAGTTAGCATTGCCTGCAGGAGTTTCGACAACACCCACACGGACCGGAACACCCCCTGGGGGGCCAGGGTGCTGACCGTCGGTGTCACCGACATAACTCCAGCCGGGTCTGCACACTCCATAGTAGAGACCTGCCATCCAAACAGAGCAGGCGGCAGGCAAACGGGGTGACATGCGACCCACTGGTGGACTTGGGTCGGAGGGCATCGAAGTTTCTGTAGTGTTCTCGGTTTGTGTTACATCCAAATAGGGACATAAAAAATTAAAGGGGCAGCATGTATAAAGAATTCTTGCAACTCAGCCACAAGAAGACAAACGACCCAATTTAAAAATGGGCAAAGGACTTGAGTAGGCATTTTCTCCAAAGAAGATATACGGATGCCAATAAACACATGAAAAGATGTTCCACCCCCCAGATGACAGAGGAATGCAAATTGAAGCCGCAGGGAGAAAGCACCTTCCGCCCACGGGGGGGGGGGGGGGGGTGGCGAGCATTAAAAAACAAACAAACAAACAGTAAATAACAAGGCCGGGCCAGGATGTGGAAAAACTGACCCCTGCCTGCACACTGCTAGAGGGAATGTAAAATGGGGCATCCTCTGTGGAAAACAGTCTTGCATTTCCTCAGAAATTTAAACATAGAATTACCACACGACCCAGCCATTCCACTGCTAGGTATGCGCCCGAAGTAGCTGAAAACGGGAGTTCAAACAAACCTTGTAAACAGACGTTCATAGCAGCACTGTTTACAAAGCCCCAAAGTTGAAACACCCAAATGTCCACCAAAAGATGAATGAATCAACAGATGCTTATAGAGCCATGTGACATAGAAAAAGCGAAGCCATAAGAAGGAGTGAAGAACTGATTCACACCGTAACACGGATGAGCCTCGGGAACATGAGAGGTGAAGGAAGTCAGACACGCACGAAGTGTCCAGGGCGGGCAGAGCCGCAGAGGCGGGAGGCAGAGGAGAGCTCTGGGCGGGCTGAGGGTGTGCGACAGTGGGCAGTGACCACGTGGGTGTGGGTTTCCTTGGGGGTGAGAACGTTCTGGAACGAGGCAGAGGTGGTGGTTGCACAGCACTGCAAATGCACTAAATGCCACTGAACTGAACATTTTAAAGTGGTTCATTTTTTAAGGTGAATTTTACCTCAGTAAAGTAGAAACAACTAAAAGGACCAGGTAAGGAGAAACCAATTCCAGTTTTGACCACCAAGATACCTGCAGAGCCGGTTCTTTCGGCAGATGGCTCGACCCTCTGCTTACTGACCACTCCCTCATTCCCTTCTGCCTCTGTGGTCCTGATGATGGCTCAAGGTCGACCTCATGGGGGGGTCAAGGTCAGACAATCAAGGGAGAGGCTGACACGGGCTCCACAAAACCTGAGCCAGGCAAAACCATCCAAGATGTTGTTGGACAAGAACGTCATTTTAAAAAAAGAACAAAAACAAAACCTCAGCTCCCCAAAATGTGGATATGAGAACAGGCCCCTCTGCTGATGTCTGGTCTGGGAGGTGAGCTGCAGACTTCACAATCTTTCCCCAGAGGAACGTCTTAGCTTACCAGGGAAGTGAGTGTTTCCCACGTTCCCCCCGCCTCATGCTTTGCTGGAGCGTTCGCCAGTGCAGAAGGCCCTGTGATGGAAAATCACAGGGGGTGGGGGTGGGCGTGGTGAGGGTCCTGGGCCCTGGCACGGGTTCTGGTACACAGTGGGACCCGGATAAACGTCGAGAGAAATCCCCTGTATCACAAAGGGGGATGGTCCAGGGGGCAAGGGTAGGGGGTTGGGGGTATGGAGACACAGGCCAAAAAAACAGGTAAATTGTGCTAAATGCAGTAAGGACGCAAAAGTCCGAGTAAGTGATTATGGGAAACCCCCCTTCAGAGAGAGCGGTGAGGAGCTGTGACCAGAGAATGACAACGAAACTCAGAGATGAGGAGCCCCACAAGCTGAGCGGGAGGGTGTGGTGGGAAGAATTTTCCAGGCAGGGCCACTGACTCCGCCCCAATCCCGCTGGATTGGAAGGTTACGAGGGTCTTGGAAGGTAGAGAGAAGGCTCTTACCATATCCAGAGAAGACAGGAGGATTTGGAGTAAAGGGTGGTGAGAACAGGATTTCAAAGAGCGATCACCTAGTGATGAGGGTGGCTGACTCCCCTACAGCCTAACTCCCAATGATTAGCCTAAGCCATCATGTATTCACAACCCCCTCAGTGGGGATTGGTTCAAAACTGAGTCTGTCATCTCATCTGGACCAGTGAGGCATGAGGGGCAATCAGGTGAGGTGCTTCTGGGAAAGTGGTCCTCATACCGGGGAGACATGCTAG